TACTTTCCTACAGCCTTTTTCTAACAAATAGACACATATATGTAAATATCTGTAATTTTTAGATAAAATGTATAGTGTATAAAACTCTTTTGGTTTTCAGTTCTGGGTCGTAAATCTTTTCCATTGTCATTACTTACCTATTTGTATCAATAAACATTCTTCATAAAATGTATATTTATAAGCACTAATAACTACATAAATTGATTATTTGATAAGTTTTTATAAAAATTGTTATCTATCTATGATTTCACTGAAGACTCCTAGATGACTTGTAGAGACATATAGTTTTTTCTCTTTACCACATATAACACAAAATCTAGTTCTGAAAAGAGCATGACTTCTCTACTTATCATCGTTGATGTTAGTATATTGATGTGCAATATTAACCACAAAAAATTAAAAGGCTTTGAATATTACACTTGAGAGTATCGCTGCTGCCACCATCTGTATTAGAGGGGGGGAAATGGTAGGGGTGGCCAACGATTGCCTAAGGGTGGCCCCCCATCTAGCTCCGCCCCTGATGAGCACCTTGATATGTGCTTGAGAATGGTGCAATTCAAATTTAGATTTTAAAAGCCTTGCAAGGCAGCGTAAAGCCCACTTCTCTCATTAGGCCTTAAAAAATAAATAAGCAATTGGTCGGTTCAGATGTTTTATAAAATATATTAATAACGAAACTGACTATATAGCAAACTGAAAAATTGTTGTACTCTACCTAAAAAAAAAAAACTCTTTAGATTATTAAATGGTATTGAATATTTATTTTATTTTAAAAGTCAATGTATAACATGGATGCATAAGCGCCTCATTTTATTTCAATGTTAAATGCTGCTCCTATATCCCTCATACTATTCTGTTCAAATTCTTCCTTTTATGAGGCACATTTTTTAAAGGAGTCAATGTAACATTTAAAAATATAAAAAAGTAGCCTGTCAAACTGTTCTTCAGTTGGATTTTTATACTGCAATAAAACATTTTCACAACTTTAAATCTTTTTTTACACATCTTTACATTAAAAACACTGAACTGAAACTATTTGCTATTTCTAAAAAAAATACAATAATTGTAAATATTTTCACAAGCTGCCTAACCAGACCACACTCCAGTCTGATAGGTGGTGGTAAATGCACCTTAAGTTGGTTGCCATCCGCCAATAAAAAAAAAAAGAAGTAGTAGCCTAACCAACCATTATTTATTCTATGGTTTGTTTACTGGTCTGTAATGTTTCCATGCACATGTTTGACAGAAATGGATGAAAAAATGACTGTCTAAACGGGCTTTACCGTTGTCTTTATTTATATAATTAGATGCGAATAGTGGCATTCTTGGCTTTCCACAAAGGGACACTATTCCCCCGCGTGCATCTTCTGAATGTTGCGGAGTCCTGCCTTGAGCTAAAAGCAAACGAGAGTTGCCTCAGTTCATCTCGCGATACTTCGTTAGTGTTCGCGGAACAGTATGGCAGCCGTGTCGCTGAGGTCCTGCCGCAGAGGACTTTCACAAATGTTCAGAAATGCAGGGGTTGTAGCCCTGCCTTCACAGCACTTACAAGGTTTGTATGATGATTATCTCCTGACAACACTAATTTCACAACCCTCAAACGTTTGGCAGAATAATTACAATAAATAAGAGGGGGTGTGGCGACTGTGACGTTCTTTAAAACGCAGAGAATGTAAGCTAAAAGGCGTGCTGTACATCTTCCTACTACAACCATGACTTTTTTATTTTTATTACATTTTCTAGCGCTACCTAAATATATTAAATCATTATTTGACCACGTTATGCGTTAGTCAGGTTCAGTTCGGCGTGCTGAAATGAAACCATATGTAGCTAATTTTAATAAACATGTCCGTCTGGCAGTTTATACTTCAGTGTCAGTTATTTGCTGTTGGGGCAGGTTGTTGCCAGATCTGTTCTCATTAAAGTCTCGGAACCTTTCTGGAGTTATAACTGATAACTTTGTGTCCTGTAGCCGACAGAAGACACAAATCTACAGTTCAGTATGCATCCAGAGCAGATCTTCCAAAGCTGGCCTACAGGAGGGTGAAGGGGAAGAGTCCAGGGGTGGTGTTCCTGCCTGGCTATGGCTCCAACATGAATGGACAGAAAGCTGAGGCACTGGAGGAGTTCTGCAGGTCGTTAGGGCACTCCTACCTCAGGTAAGTCACCCAAACCCAGCAGTGAGTGTTTAATAGATCCAAACAAATTATATAGGGTCGCAACAAACGATTATTTTGAAAATCGATTAATCTGTCGATTATTTTAGTGATTTAATCAGACAGCCGAAGGTTCCATAAAGAACCTTTTTGCTCAAATAAACCAGGTGAAACAAAAAACTTTTCCACTTGAGGATTTATGCATATAGCAGATTAATAGCTGAAAAATATTTTTATGTTAAATGCAAAATGTTAACATATTTTTTTTATATAATTGCTGCTCAAGGTGGGTCACTGTCAGCTAAAGGCATGTTTAAGAGTCTCTGTAATGCTGTTTCCAATTAATCAATTACTAAATTAGTTGACCATTATTTCAATAATAAATTAATCATGATTAAGCCAATAAATTATGTATCAAGAATACAC